AAGAAGCTACAACTTGTACACAGAAGTCTGCCGCATCCCCAAGTGCTCTAAACCCTGTACCCTCAGCACACCTATAGTCCCCCTTAAGTAGATAGAATATGGGGTATATGGGGATCTTGTTATAATCTACCCAAAGCCATATTCTATCTACTTAAGGGGGACTATAGATGAATCAGTTGGGTGGTTGTCAAAATTATGGTCCCGTTTTGGGTACCCTAAAAATTAGGTGCCGTATTATGACAGGGATCCGAAAAGGGATTTCGACAACCACCCAGTTTCCCAAAATTAGGGGTATCATGGTATATAAGTTCAGGGTTGAGGGATGAGGGTTTAGGGTGTATGGAGGTATTAATTACCCCAAGACGGAAAATCAAACGGGAAAAGAAGATAAACAATGAAATGTGAGGGCTTAGGGTTTCCCAAAATTAGGGGTACCATTTAGGGCTAGTATGATTGTTATCAGAATTATAGTTATATTGCGATTATTTTTCGCATCATTGTTACGATTATCGTATTCTTGCTATGCTCATTACTATTAGTCGTTCTTGATATAGCACAGTGATGACTAAGAGCTCCCTTCATGGTTACCTCCACATCGTAACTGCTCTGGTTATCATTGCATGGCACTAGCATTTTCTCACAATCGTAGTAATGTTTGTGCTGCTGCTGTTGCTACTGTGACGGGTCTTAGAGAGCCTTGCTGAGTACGGTTCAGGCGCCCCCGGTCCTAAAGCAGCAGCAACAACAGCAGCAGTAGCAGCAGCTGCAGGTGTTGGTGTTGCTGTTGTGCATGATACCCTATAATGTCTCCTGCAGCCTTGGCTTGCTTTCACGCATTTGGGAACGGCCTGCGCAATGAGGCGTTGTCTTCAGCCTTTCTTCTAGTCAAGCTAAGACAGTAGCCTAACCCCGAACCAGGCCCTACACCCTGAATAGTAGGTTCCATGTTCCTTGCCGTGTTCCCTCTAATCTCAACTCCTATTATCTAGCGGACTACTATAGGGCTCCTTAAAGAGGATACTAGGAGTTTAGACTATGGCTCACATTTATATGTTTAGGTAGTACTGGGTGGAATCATCTTGGCAATCTAGTTTGGGTTTGCTCCAATCCGCAATGAACAGTTGCCCCGTCCCTACGGCCCTACGGTATCCAAAGCATGGACCCCCCGAACAGAATAACCCCAGCAATACGCGGGGGAAACTGGGGGATAATAATTGGGAGGTTCGCCCTAAACCCCTAAGCCCCAAGCCCGTCAACCCTAAACCCTGAAGCCCCTAGATTAAAACCCTAAGCCCCCAAGCCCCTAAGCTCTAAACACTAAACCCCTAAACCCTAAATACTAAATCCTAAGCCCTAAACCCTAAACCCTAGTTCAATGACAGCATGCTATGAGCTGCCTTGCCAGGACGTTCTGGAGGATGCTGCCTTTGACGCTGGGGTTAGGTTTTCAGCTTTAGGGTAAAGGCCTTAGGGCTTAGGGTTCTGGGGAAGGAAGGTTGGAAGGTTCCGGGGACTTAGTAACTAGGCTCTGTTATCATAAGGATATATAGGGGCATGCGGGCGTAAATAGGGGATATACGGGTATAATGGAGAGCCAAACGGACAAGAAAATCAAAATGCAATGGAAACCGGTGTCGATATGGTTGTTATGTAAGTCATGTAGCGTGTTACTTGATGGCTTAGGCATCAGAGACCGGGCGCCCTCGCATTGAGTACCGCTGCAGTTCCTCCCAGCATGCTGAAGTCCGGTCTGTCCCTTTGCCAAGGGTCTACTCAACTCCAGGAATCTAGAATCATGTAGTATTCCCCCCGAAATCATGAGCCGCTGCTGGACCGGATGGAGTGCAACAATTGCTCATATTGCCACATGCCTCATGTTTCTTTTTTTTGGGGGGGAGTCTCTCATGGTAGCAGCATGGCATCCGAGCCCTAAACTCTAAACTTTAAACCCAAAGCCTTAACCCCTAAACCCATCCAAGGACTTCAACCCCTACACCCTGAACCCTAAACAGTGGGTCATGACGGTCCACTTTGAGAAGCTGTACTGAGAGGGGTCTAGTAGTTGTGCGTAGGGTGGCTGTAAGTGCTTCCTGTAGTCCTACTGGGCGCTAAGAATCCCGTGTCGTTTGCGGCAGACATCAAAAGTCCGAGGGGTTGTAAAAAAAAGCTAAACAGTAGTTTCCATTTTGTTTTCCATTATCCCTATATACCCCCTATAATTACATACCTTGTATGACCCCTATAACCCCTAAACCCATCCAAGGACTTCAAGACATGTTCCTGTACCTGCTGCATGGCCACGGAGCGCGCGGACCAAGAGGTTGAGCGAAGCGCGGATGGCCAGCCACCTGTCGAAATGGGTTTAGGGTTTGGGGCTCAGGGATTAGGGGTTTAGGGTTTTAGGGTTTAGGGTTCTAGGGTTTTAGGGTTTAGGGTTTAGGGTTTAGGGTTTTAGGGTTTTAGGGTTTTAGGGTTCAGGTCTGGGTTTAGGGTGTTTAGGATATTGAATGTAATCCGCCTCCCTTGATAACGACCAACCCAACAAATGGTACCAGTATATATTTGAGGGGATATTTGTTATCAGCGGGTGGGGGGATCTTAGGGAGGGTGTGTATTTGGAATCATGAGGTTGCTGCTTGTTATTGTAACCGTTGTCGTGGTCATTGTTGTACCTACAGGGAGTGGGTGTGCTTCAAAAACTTAGCTTGAGAGTCCTTGTGCTAGTTGTGAAAAACGTGCCCGCTGCTTCTGCTGAGCCTTTCTGTCTTGAGCGGATGGTCAAGGTCGATGTTGACGCACAAGTGCGTCCATCCGAGCCCTGCTACAGAAGAGTGCCCGATGGAATGCATTGCCCGTGATCGGCGGCACACCTTGGAGCAGGACATGGGTCAGCTTTGGTACATGCCTACATAATTCAGCAATGGCATGCTTACATTGCAAATGCTGGAGCAACAACCAACTCCTGCCATCCCTCCATGCTGTAGCATGCAGGAGCAGTACGTCAAGCCAGGGAGTGCTCTGGATTACGCGCGGTACTGCTTCCACAACTGTGTGCCAGCTGTGCTCATCAATGGTGGCTTGGTTGCAGGCTTCAGGTCATACTAGATGTAAGTGTGCCGATGATGTGCAGAATTTGGCGTGCTTGACAGCCCTCAGGTGGGCAGTGTGCCAACCCGGAGAGTGCGAACAAGACGGCGGCTGGAGGTTTTGACCTGCCAAAGCCGCCAAAGTGGTCCCCGGCGGATCTGAAAGAGCCTGTGACTTGGCTTGAACATGAATTATTGCTCAAGGCGAGCCCTTGACCCCCACAGCCTGCGCCTGTTCAGTCTGAAAGCCAATTCACTGGGAGTATGCATGCTTAGCTCATCTCCACTGGATCATGGCCTTTGCTGAGAGGAGGCCCCCAAGCAGCCAGAGGAGGCAAAAGCCGTGGATGTTGCGGCCGACGCTGCAGCGCAGGAAGAGATGAAGAAGGCTGGACCAAGCATGCCCAAAATGTCACCTGCCAGTTGGCTAGATTGGGAAGGCACTAGGTTTCTTGCCTGTGTGTAACAGCTGCCTCGGACAGGCCCTGTCGGGGAGGAATCATGCAAAGTATGAATTAGAGGAGGACGAAATCAAAAAGAAACCAAGCATCCAACCACTGGAGACGGCTAAAGTGTTGTAGTCCTGAGTCAACATGGGAGTTTGCAAACATGAGGGTTCCCCTGAAAGTCTCCCTTTTAAACCCCACATGCTCTCGTCCTTACTGTGGGGACCCCCCAAACAGAACCCATGAAGTTTGGATAGTGGAAAACAAAATGGAAACTACCATGTAGTATATTGGGGTTACATTTGATAATGGAAAAGGATATGGAAACTACTATTTAGCGTTAAGGGTTTCGGTTTATATTGGGACTATATTGGGGTTATATTGGGAGTATATTGGGGTTAGTAGGGGTGTGTCTAAGGGAGGAATGGCGAGTCTGGACGCGAACCCTTTGATGTGGTGTCCGGAGATCGGAAGTTAGACTCTAGGTCAGTGTTGGGCCACCGCACCAGCATTGGGACCGGACTACACCCGACCCAGACTCAGAAGTGTACCATGGCCATAGTCCAGGCATCTTGCAATGGATTCGGGGACCCACCATGCAGTTGTAATCCCCACCCCATGTTAACAACTCCACCACTACCCTGTGGAGGCACTGCCAATGAGACCAATGCCCTCTAGGTTCTGCCAATGTCAAACCCAAACCGTGCCACGGAAATCCTCACGGGATACCCCAAGCTTCAACAAGGCCTAAACCGCGACCCTCAGTCTGCCGAATATGGGAGGGTTCACAAAAACCGGGAAATGGAAACTAGGGTATGTAAATCTAGATAGATCCCTGAATACCCTATATAACCCTTATATATCGTTCAAGATAAGCCTAGGCATGTTATGAAGCGCCAACGCAAAATCGGGTCGACAGGTCACGTGGGACCTGCGTGGCATCGTCGTGGAGCGAACCCGCGCTGAGGCAGATGAGCATTTATCCTTCTGAGAGTCCAGGGTTTAGGGTTATAGGTTAAGGGTTTGTGGTCTTAGGGTTGAGGGTTTCGGGTTTCTGAAAACTAGGGGGCCTTTAGGGACCCTAAGGGTATGGATTATGAGGGTCCCTAGTAAGTAAGTGTTTTACATGGATGTTTTTTTGGGAAAAACTCTCATCATTTGGTGAGGCTTTCTGCAAATTGGTGTCATTTTTTGGGGGACTCCCGTTATAAGTAAAGATGTAGTGTATAGGTGGGGTATACAAGGCACACCCATATGCAATCACCCTGATTTTCACACGATCAAGGAAGGGAGTGCCCTGCAATTTGGACCCATTTTAGTTACATATGAGTAGAGGGGATTATATAGGCGACTACTATAGGGGTTATTAAGGGGGATACTAGGAGTTTAGACTATGGCTCATATGATGGTTGTAGGCTATGGAGTCCTGGTTAGAGACATTGGGATAACTCAAATCCCTTTATCATTAAACAAACCCGTGTATATCGCCAGTTTCCATGACCCTCGTAACCTTTTACCTTTCCTACTGTGGATGAAGGAGACCATGTACCACTGAATGCATGTTATACCCCATTCGTTACTCTCTACAGGTAGCCGGTCACCTGTGCCCCTTTGATTCTCCAGTATATACCCCTATGTACCCCATGTACCCCTGCATAACCACTATACCCAGGCCCCTATAGTACACGATTTCCATAAGATCGCATATAAGCCCGATTTCTACTTCATGTTGCATTCTCTTTCCGTTTGATTCTCCACTCTTAGTAGTTCTTTAGACCTCTGAATAAGCTGTATATCAGCCATAGTCTAAACTCCTTAAAGGGGGCTATGTAGGGGATTCTATAGAGAACTACTACACCCTAGACCCCTAAACGTTAAACCCCTAAACGCCAAACCCCTAGACCCGAAACCCCTAAACCCTAAAACCCTAAACCCTAACCCCTAAACCCTAAACCTTAAGGTTTATAACCCCTACAGCGCACAAAGGCACCACACTCCCCAGGCTGGTGCCGCCGCTGCACGTGCCGCATACGCTGCGGAGCGGGCCAAGCTGCACAGCCAGGTGGGATGTCTAGGGGTTAGGGCTAGGGACATAGGATATAGGGGTTGTTAGTGGATTTCTAGGGCATATGTTGGGGCCAAATAATGGAGTATCAAATACACAAATGGTATTTATATATATATATAAAATCAGGTTATTACCTGCATAGTCAAGGCATGTTGGACCTTCACTCGGGCGCGAGCCAAAATGGAAACCATATCAGTTTGGAGGAGGTTCATGGATTGGAGAACTCGGTCATGTTGGATTAGTGGCATTAGCGGGCTCACGTGTAGGACTTAAGGCTTGACGCCTAGACTCTAGGCGGACCCCCACCCTGTAATAGTGACTATAAGGTATAACAGGCGTTATACTAGGGTCCTATTATCTTCCTATTGCACCACTATTACAGGACGGGGGGTCTACCTAATCTAGAGTCTAGAATGCATGGATTCGGCTTCAGGATTCAGAGCTTGAAGCTTTTTCGTGTGTTAGGTCTCGGGCCTTGTGGTCGGGAGGATTTCCCCCGAACATCTGTTCTTGTATTTCGCTTTCCTTGCGCGACACATGAGGAGTATTTTATTTGGGGATATTATGGTACCCATTACAGAGTAAGATTCTATCCTCCTTTTTGGGTATAGTATTCTATATATGGAATATTATCTTACTAGGTTTTACCACCAAAAACACTACTCACATGAGATATTGACAGGAGATCAAGCGTTCCACGAAGATGCTGGACAAGGTCAAGCGTCCCAGCAGCAAAATGGCAAAGCCCATAAGTACTACGAACAGTACTAAAAATATTGATATGATAATAGTAGTTATATAAATAATGAGAAATGAAAGAGCTTTAGGGCCGAGGGTGGTCGCGATTAAACAGGGCGCCTCCCCCCTCTGAAGCAAAAGTGTTCTACGATGTTTTTGAATTACTCCAGGACTCACCCCAGGGCAACCGTGTTTTGGAGGCTTGTAAAAGGAGGGAGGAAGAGGCAAATGTAGAGTAGCAGTGAAAGCAAAGCTTTAAAGATCCTATAATGCCAACTGCTGATTCCGCTGTTTTGTAGTGGTTTTCTGTAAATGCGAAGAGAGATCCCACGCAAGATCCGTAAGGGGTAGCTCGGGAAGCAACGTTTGAGCGTTTAATTTCCAATGAACTTAAGCAAGCCTCTCAGATTTCAAAATCTGCTTTCCTGTTCTCATTTTCCGAACGGCCATGTAATTGAGTCTCCCTAAACCTGGACCTGAGTTCCTGATCGAACAAAAACTTTCTTTAGTATTGGGGGTTGGACCGTCCTTGCTTTGATTCTGCGAGAGATTGGCCACCAAATGCATTATGCTTTGAAGCTCAGGGTTTTTTGGGTACGTCGGCTGTAGCTTTGCTTGCAGCATTGCTTGCACCAAAGCGAGCAGATGCAGGCCTGTTTAGGGCACTTCGGATGTGGACAGCCAGCCAAAGTGGTGGCATTTGAGGACTGCTGTGGTCGAGGAGTCCAAGACCTACGAGCCTGACTTCGAGCTGTCGAAGGCTATCGTTTCCACATGCATTGCAATAGGATGTTGCCGGAGCTGTTCTACTTTCAGTTTGACAGTTGTCCCTTCGTCATGGGTATTTGAACCGGGGGATGCTGGCTTTGCTGCATTCGCTGACAGCTTCTAGTATCTTGTGCAGGCGAACGCGACCGCCGCTGCTGAAGCTGTTGCGCAGAGCTACAACGCCTCGGCCCGACTCTCCTGAGAATCCCTCCTTTGATACTCCCTGCTTCCCTTCTGCTGTCGACGTGATAACTAGAAGAATCGGCATGCGCTGAGTTGTGAGGGTTGAGCACTTGAGGCTCTGAAGAAGGCGAAGACAAACCTTCGCAAGGCGCAATTGATGATGCGAATGCTTGCCTACTTGGAGACTTATCAACAAACTGCTGTGCAGGTGGGAGAAGACACCAGGAAACTCGCCAAGCAGAGCCTTGGCATCACACTGGGTCATGCCTGCGTCTTGCATTACGGCGACCTCATCCCAGGATGATCCAGGATGCGGCAGCCCAGAGCGCCCAGATGGAAGCAGACAGCTATGTGCAGCGAATGCATCTTGATGAGACTGCCTCTTACAGAAGACAGGCCCGAGGCTCACTTTCTGTGGTTTGCGCGACTTGCTGGAGCGGTCCATTTGCAAGTAGCCTCAGGTGGCCAACACTGCTGCCTTTCCCTACGTCTCCGCTGTGTCCACAGGCACGTGTGACGTCGTAGCGTCAGCTGCATGACGTCGCGTTCAATAAAGTTGGTCGCAGGCATGCAGCGAAGTGCAGAGTACGAGCATGCTGCCGCAGCTGCAGAGCAGGCTGCGCGCGAGGCGAGGGTGTGGCCCTCAGCAGCCTGCGGGTACTGCCAGGAGCAAAGCTTGTGACCAGAATGCTCGCTCTGCCGGCGGCGTGCAATTTGAGTATACTTACATTAGACATGCACATATCAGGTCAAGATGGACAGGGTGCAGCAGGAGGCTGACCGAATTGCAGAAAGTGGAGACAGGACACGAATCAACACACTCACCCGTCCGATATGTCATGTCCGGTATGCATAGGAAATCCAGTGATCGAACCTGTCGCAGGATAGCCGCTGGAATGAAGAGACGCGAAGCCACAACTTTGCGACACAAGGCCGGCACAGCTCAGATCACTTGTGGGCGTGCTGGTGATGGTGGGTGGCAGCAATAACATCAGGCGTTACCATGGGAACCTCAACGGTAGGACTGGCAGTAGAAAGAAGCCTGTGAGGAAGCGTTGCACCACTGTGTATCCCGGATGCACAGCATTACCATTGTTGGGGCGAAGTAAGGTGGTGCAAGATTTCATCCATGCACACCAGCAGCAGCGGTAGCAGGAGCAAGAGCAAGAGCAGCGCGAGGCTGCCAGTAGCACTAAGGCTAACAGCAAGAATACAAGTTGTGGCAACTACCAGCTACTCATTGGAATAGAAGCAAGCGACAGTCAAAGTAGACCGAGTATGGAATGCTACCTGCTACTTATCACTGGCTTCGCTTTGACCTATATGATTTCTAGTCTAAACTCCTTGAAAGGGATGTTATATAGGGAAGTATTATAGGTGTTACTAAGGGGGATACTAGGAGTTTTGACCCTAAATCCTAAACGCTAAACCCCTAAATCCTAATCCGTAAACCCTTAGGGGTTGTTAAGAGGGGATACTAGGAGTTGAGACCCAAAAAGTCACGTGATCAGCCACAAGATCAGGCAGAGGATGAGGAGGCAACGGCTGCAAAGTGCGGAGTCCAAGCCTGGACCGTTTAGGGTTTAGGGGTGTAGGGGGCTTAAGGGTTTAGGGATTTGGGGTTTAGGGGTTCAGGATT